AAGAGATGAAACGGAGCAATTTGGATCCCCAGTCCAATGTGCGGACATTCATCAACCCTGACTATCAATCTACAGTACCAAGGATCTGTGATACTGTGAGATAGTGTAAGATCATTGTTTTAGGTAGAATGAATATGACGTGTCTCTAAATACTGTTGATCAGTAATAATAATTAAAGAAATGCATACTTGTATAATAATAATTGAAATGCAGCAGTTGAAGAGATATTTTTAGCTGACAAAATGTCAAGTGTCCCACTTGTGGTTAAGCTTCTCATGCATCTGCAATGGAACCTATAATGTAATGAGCGTATCTGCAAGCTTCAGTTTGACTGTTATAAAGTAGAGAAGTACATTTTACATCAGAATAAAAGAAATGTCATGGAAAACTTTAATCTAACAATTGAAGAAATTATTGTTATAAAAAATATACTATATTTGACTCTCTGATGTTCATTTCACATTCAACTAGTCACATTCTTTCAAACGTCATGGTCATGTTTTCCATTCTATGAAGTCACATGGTTTTTCTTTTGATTAACAATGTTAAAGTTTACTTTAAGTGTGAGCTTAAGTAACCTACATGCAATTGAAATGCAATGTGTGCTTTTCATTTTTGCATTATATTTTATTTGGTTATTTTGGTTAAATGAACTGCAGATCATTTATACTGATTACCTGGACTATTTAAACACCACTCACATGCTCTCCGATTGCTGAGATTTTGTTGGCTGTTGCTGCATTTCAAAAACTGTTTATTATTTTTCTTGCCGTGTTTTGAGCCATCCGACTGTTTATATTGTTTCTGATTGTTTGCTGCCCTTCTTACCCATATTTCTTGTATTTGGATTATGCTTAGGATTATCTTTGTATACCATGTTTTGACCCTTTCCAACCTGATTACTCTAATAAAGCTGTATTTGTTTCCAACTACTGTATTCATGTCTCCTTCACAACAAATGTATTATAATAACTAATGATGTAAATACATGTGTTATTACAACAACAGGTGGAAGAAATTTCAACTGCCAGGTTTCTACTTTAGTTAATCATTAGCTATGATTTGCTACGATATCTTTATGATTGACTTTACCTGTTGAGGCACGTAATGTTAAGCAATTGTTTTAAACTAATTACAAAATAGTCAATTGGTTAACAGTCCTGTGTCTCAAAAGTAAAACTGTGGTCATGCTGCACTTTTCTCCCTGTAGACTTCCATTTATACACATGCGAATGAAGCAGACCAGAAATGCAAGCTCGTGTGGCAAGCTTCTCAGTTTGCTACATTGAACTCTGAACTGCGAAATTGCATCATGTGATTGCGTAAGACCAATCAAAGTTCAAAAAAATTACGTGACAGAAATTTATAATATTGAGCAATCTCTCTTTTTAAATATCCAATCATTTAATTTAATCCCGCCCTTTTTCACAGCACCATACAACAGAATTTCGCATGCTCAAACTCGGCATAAAGTCATAACAATATAATACCATAACAAATCATTAGCTAATGATTAAAGCAGATAACTTGAAGTTACATAACATTGACAATTGTGGTAATTAACATATGATATTAGTAACATAATAACATTACAATATTAGTTAAATTATAGTTTGTTGGAGAATAATGCATGATTACCTTATTACCAGTTTATAAATTAATTACTGCATGAATCATATACAATATTTATTTGTTGCTTGTGCAGTAACAATTAATATATGGTTAAGCTCTTTATTAGTTATTCCAGTGGTTCTCAGTCTTGGTCCTGGAAGTCTGGTGTCCTGCAGTTGTTAGCTCCAAACCTAATCAGACACACCTAGGGTTGCAAATCAAACTTTTAATCTGCGGTCATGCAGAACTTTTCTCCATATAGGCCTCCATTTACATGTACGCGAATGCATCAGACAAGAAATGCAAGCTCCTGCGACAAGTTTCACACTTCGTAACTTTGGAAAGTTCAAGCTTGGTGAACTCTGACCTGCAAAATTACATCATGCGATTGCGTAAAACCAATCGATAAATAGCAAAATAAAACAGTTACTGTTTTATTATTTACTATTTTACAGTTACTGCACAACCTACAGCAAGGGATAACAGTGTTAACTCATGATTATCTGTGCATCAGTTAAGCATTAATTAATGCATATCAGTGCACCCATATTGTGAAGTGTTACCCAACATCCTTTCACCAGAAGTTTTACAACTGGCATAATGATATTCAATGAATATGTTCAATTACACACAAGATTGTAGATTGTGTTGTTATAAATAGGTTATATGCAAGTGTTGTTCAGTCATTGAAATCTTCAGCCGAAATTTTTATGTGACTATTTTCAATTTCATAAGGTTCCTTTTACAGCATCAAAAATGTAGATTTTTATTTAGTTTATCAACAAAAGATAAATAGTGCAATTCCGCCTAGCCTGCTTTACTTAGATGAAGTTGGTTTTAAATTCACATTGGTTAATTTTTAAACAAATGACAACCTGTGGCTACTCCCTATATCGTTTACCATGCTACTTTAAATATTCTGTCTGAAATAGCATGTAAGTATGGCTTGGTAATAACTGCAACTCCTAATTAGCCAACCACTATACAGTAGTCGCTTGAGGACTGTACCATCCACGATTCCAGCGATCCTTTTGTAATCCTTGGCTATAAGATAATAAAATAAAACCCAACTATGCCACCTAGGTTATATTACCCAGGAACATATAAAGAAGCACTTGCTTGATTAACACAAAAAGTTACAACAATATGAGGGACCCTGCTGGGTTTTATTTTATTTAAGACAGAGACGTGACTTACAAAAAAAAAAAAAACATTTATTGATTTACACCATCGTATACTCAATAATAAAAACAAATTTAAAATGGTCTCACCACAATTACCAATTAAATAACCACTGTCACAAAGAGACCCCAATAAATGACACCAGAATATAGGTGACACTCTACACAGCAAATCAGTGTTTAAAAATGATTAAAGCAAGTGACAAATTAAACCTATACAATTCAACAAACTCCCCTTTTAATTAATCAACATTACAACATTACCTGTGGATATGCACATAAAATACTTTCACAGGAAACAAACTGCACAAAATCACACAAGATAAAGTTCACAATGCAGCGTAAAGATCAAATTAAATGTGGATGTTAGATCAGGGTCAAAATGGTGACGGCAACGCACCAGCTGTGCAAAAATATATTGTCACCATAATATTTAATGAGTTGTCCAAGAGGAGTAACCCAGAATAATTCTCCATTGTATTATATGAAGTATTGTAATATTTTAGTGAAAGCAATGCAAAATCAAGTCTGTATTACTTTGCCACAAGCTGAAGTTCATCAATGTTTGTCCCATGAATAACTAAGACACTGTGATTACCTTTAAACCAGAATAAAGCAATGTTTTAATGTCTGCTGAAGAAAGCAATGTCTCCTTTTAACAATTAAAGGGATTTATATTTACTTCTTTTCATTATAAGTCTTAAATACTCATGATCATAATGCCATTTTGAACAATGTAATGCCAACAGTCAATTACCACTACAAACACAGACCATTTTGCAATACAAAGTACTATTAAATACTGTTATTTGCATAAAATATGACTTATGGAAAAACAGTATTTAAATAATATAACAATGCTAATCATTCATTTATTCAATATTTTGCGGCTTAGTCCCTTTATTAATCTGGGGTCGCCACAGCGGAATGAACCACCAACTTATCCAGGATATGTTTTACACAGCGAATGCCCTTCTAGCTGCAACCCATCACCGGTAAACATCCACACACACTCATTCACACACATATACTACGGCTGATATAGCCTACCCAACTCACCTATAGTCCTACCACGGAGCAAACTCCACAGGTTCGAGGCTCGAACCAGCGACCTTCTTGCTGTGAGATGAACGTGCTACCCACTGCACCACTTGCAGCCAATCCTAATCAAATTAGTCAAAAGGCTGTTTTGATATAGCTTTGAACTTTGAGCTTTATCAATTCAAATCTTTTTGCTTGGGAACAAATAACATGATTGAGACCAAATGTTGACAATAGGCATTAGCATTTATTCTTATTTTTGATTGTTTATTTTCATTTTTTTTTTAACTTGAAAAGTCAAGTAAAGGCAAATCTTTATTTCAATAGCACTATTATAATGTAGACTGTGTCAAAGCAGCTGAACATATACAGTATGCTGTACTATATAATTTTAGGTTATGTTTATATATAATGTCCGCCCTATACACTACTCCTTAATTTGATTTTGATTGTAATGAAATAATGTGCACCTTTTGTAAAACTGCTTTGAAACAATACTTATTATGAAAAGTACTATACAAATAAACCTAAATTAAATTGAATAGATGAAGGAATGGGAATAAAAACATAAGTCTATAATTTAGATTGTTTAAAAATCCAGCATGTTCAGGCAAGCAAAGTAAACGGTTTTATTTTATAATATTAATAAATGCATTTATTTTTGTATTGTTTATACATTTGGTGTGTGTTAAGGCCATGATGAAATATAAACCAATAAATATTATTTATCTTTGAAGCGTCTAATTGATGGAAAACGTTAGGAGGGATTGTTTTAAAATACTTTACAATTGCGACATCTTCTGGTCAGAGAAAGTAGCTTGTTTCAGTCTATTTAATACATTAAACCGATAAGTAAATAAATAAAACAAATAAACCTGATTCAGAATATTGTTTTTTTGTTTTTTTTTTTACTTACAGCTCGCATACAGTAGCTAACATTAGCTGCTTACTGCCAATCACCAAGGATCTTGATTTCAGCTTAAAATCGACATCAACTCAGCTTTAAATTTAAAGCAAATTTAACAGAATTTATTTTATTTTAAGAAAATATAAGTAACGGTATCAATGCATATTTTAAATAAAATAAAATTACATTTGTTTTGAATCAGAGCAGTGCATGAGAAGCGCGTTCGTACGCACACGCCCTACTTTGCGCTCTCATGCCTCATGCTCTTTTTGACAAGTGGAAGATGCATTCTAGCACGCCACAAACCTGGATAACAAGAGCTGCGCGCGGATTACACGTGAACCAATAAAGGGACGCCGAGACACTTATTGCGTAAATATTTACATAAAATAAGAATACATTATAAAACAGATTTAACAAAACATTCAAGTGGTTATTTCTTGAAGATGAAGAAGACTACTTCACATCAAGGTAAGAGTTTAATTCTGAGCTTTTGACTGTAGAGTTTAAAAGGGTTGAAAAAGGTTTGGCATGCTAATTTGTTTTAAGATTTCTTTCTTTCTTTCTTTCTTTCTTTCTTTCTTTCTTCTGCAGGATTTATTTATACACATTATATGATTTCCCTTCGGGGCTTTTTTTTTTTTAAATTCTATTAATAATTTCAAGCTTCAATCCAGCTGACCTATATTCCTCAATGTAGATTTTACCTAGAAAGTGAAAAGGATATATATATAAATCATTTATTGATAAATGCACAAAAGCCTCAATATACTGTAAATATACATTTTAACATTAAATTGCTCATTCACCCCAAAATGAATATTTGCTCATTGTTTACTCACCATTCAGTGAATATGAACCTTTAAGCTTTTTTCTACTGCTGTACCCAACAGAAAATGTTTTAAAGAAAGCTGATGAATATAGCTGTAATACAGAGGGGATGTGTGACAAAAAGTCGGTAAGAAAGTAAGGCATAGCGCACTTTGTAAAGTGTACTTTGTTAAAATTAAAGTGTATTCATCATTCATTAAAAAAATTATAGTTTTAAGTGTGTATGTTCACAAGTACTTTATCCACTTTTAAAAAATAATCATGCCATATCTACCAGTATCTTCTACATTTTTTTTACACCAAAAAGCAGCAACATAGGTTCAGTTTACTCTTACTGTGTGCTTGCACTAGTGTCAAATTCATGCTCAGTGCTGCTGGCAATGCTACAATACTACTGGTCAGGGGCATGTCAAATATATATGGCTTAGCAAGCCTATTTTAATCAGGTGGAAGACAGCATGTTTACATGTATATCACATGTCCATTGACACACTTGCAAGAAATGATTAATGCATAAACACAGGCATACATGTTTCAATGGTAAACTAAAAGTGTGAAGGCATACATTCTTATAATTAGCCTAGATTTCAGCTCAGTAATCAAGTTACCCGAACACTTGAAACATAAATCATTGTCTTGCCTTTTCTACTTTTTACAGCGATTGGTTGCCTCCTGGCCTTTTCTTCTTAACATTTGCATAAAGTTGAGAAATTGCCAACCTACTACGTATTGGATCTGATCAAGTATGAGTAATTTACCCTACTATGTCATTGTGCTACAGACTGCCAAACCTTTCTGATGCTCTCAGTGCTTTCGTTGTGCTACTTGTAATCTTACAATGCATTGCATGGGCATTTATCCTCAGCATTCATATTAATAAACTGAAAACCCTCTCTGCCCTATGCCTGCAATGTGCCAGTAAAAATGTGCCAATTGGGCATATAAATAGACATGTGAAACAGTTAGAACATAAAAAAATCTATATGGTTCAGGTCTTAAAATTTGGAAGATAAAGCTTTAGATGGCTATCTAAAACCTCACACATGTGTCATTATTAATTTTACAGAAAAAAATGACAATCCATAGATTAAATTCTTTCCGTTCAGATGCATGTACTGAAGATCCACTTGTAGGAGTAATTACTTCAAGTAATTATATTTTGTATAATTATCAGTTTCTCAGATCAATCCAGAGGAATTTTTGAACAGTTCTTGCCGCATCATTTCAGTCTAGGGCTGAGTGATTTGGCCTAAAATTAAAATCTTGATAAATTGAATATTTTAACTTGATTACGATTAATAAACAATTTTATTATTTATTCATTCATTAATTTTCTTGTCGGCTTAGTCCCTTTATTAATCCGGGGCCGCCTCAGCAGAGTGAACGGCCAACTTATCCAGCACATTTTTACACAGCGGAAGCCCTTTCAGCCGCAACCCATCTCTGGGAAAAATCCACACACACTCACACACACACACTTATACACTACGGAAAATTTAGCCTACCCAATTCACCTGTACCGCATGTCTTTGGACTGTGGGGGAAACTGGAGCACCCGGAGGAAACCCACACGAACACAGGGAGAACATGCAAACTCCACACAGAAACGCCAACTGAGCCGAGGATCGAACCAGCGACTTGCTTGCTATGAGGCGACAGCATTACCTGTGTCGCCTATTTGTTATTTATATTTTTATTTAATTTTTTGCCGTCATAGTTCACAAACAAGTTTACGGTTACAGTAAATTACATATTACAATAAATATTTTTGAATGAAGGGTGCATTACTTGATTTTAAAATAATTGATGGAAACACATAGATCTCTTATCTATGATTATTTAGTAAACATCAGCGTTGAACAACTGAAATTAAAACACACATTGCCTAAAGCCAACAGTCGCTTTTTTCTATTAAAAAAGTTAAAATAACGCACTTTTGGAAACAAGGTAAATTATTTTTTATGTTTTTCATATTAAAAGTAGAAAATAAGCAGTATTCAAACAGTGCATTTATTGTATCTTCTGTAAACAAATATTTTAATGTAAATTAATATTTTAAAACAAAAGTTTCCATCTAAAGCTCCTCCATTTTACTCCACTTGCTCCAAAAAGCTTGCTACTCTCCTGTGGCTCTTGGCACCACCCGTGCTCATCAACACTACCAAGTTGACCAATCACAGAGTATGCACAACGCGCCATCACGATGTGTAGTTACATTTGTTGATAGCCACGGCAAGGGGTTTGCTGTAAATGATGAACGGGCATTGTTATCACACAACTGAAGGCTTCAGAGCAACAATCTGCTTATAATGGTGTTAAAAAGTGAACTAGATTGCTTTGTATTTTTTTTTTTTAGAATAAAATAGCCTACACATGGGCACGTTTTATCAAGAAGTCGCTAACCCCATCATCAAATCTGAGATTGAGGAAATTCACTTTCTCTTTTGTAAGAAGGGAATTAACATTGCAATAAGGTATAATTCCCACTTCTATGAGCTAGTTTTCTTGGAATATTATGTTTGATATAGATATTTAGACATAAATCATGACAATATATATATATATATATATATATATATATATATATATATATATATATATATATATATATATATATATATATATAATTTGTTAATCTATATATTCTCTAAAAATATTTATTTACTCTCTCTTGCAATTACACCAGATGCTGCTGGGCCTTAGGTTATTTATAAATTAGCTTTTATGAAGCATGGAGCTAATGCCTGATGTTTGCTTTTGAACAGATGGAGACAAGCGGGTCATGGTGTTATGCTGTTTTTTACTCATTGTTAGTCATTAAGCATGAACTTTTAGTCAAACACACACTTTTTCCAGATGCTTGTTAAGGGACTGTTCCTGGGGCTATTTTCGTGGGCCATTTGCTGTATGTTTATTATCACACATAAATAAAATTAAATACATTTTTGTTGTTTTTAACAACAACAATTTTCAAGAAAGCTTTATGTTTGCATTCTTATTAGCACAAAACTTTTAAACTTAACACATAAAATGCTTTTTAGATTGTTATCATTGCCACACATTCAGTTTCTCAACCATGGTTAATGTTATTTTGCGATGTTAAATGGATAAGGTTAGAAATATGTAGCAGTTCAGGTGAACAAGTAAACTTGTTGGATATTGGTAGAAACTGTGACAGCCTTTTTGTATAGGCAGATCCAGAGCATCCCAAACATGCTCAATGGGTGACATGTCTAGTGAGTATGCTGGGATGTTTTCAGGTTCCAGGAATTGTGTACAGTTCCTTGAAACATGAGGCCATGCAGAAGAAGAGAATTATCATACTGCAACACGAGATAGTGTTCTTGGAACAATGGCCCTCAGGGTCTCTTCGTAGTATCGATGTGCATTTCAAATGGCATCCATAAAATCCAGTTGTGTTTGTTGTCTATAGCATATATACCAGCCCACACCATGTCTCCACCTTTACTATGAGCCACTTGATTACTACATTGATGTCAGCAAATTGTTCTTACACACAATGACACACGCCGTCTGTTATAAGACCTGTACTGTTGAAACCAGGATTCAATAATGAAGAGAACACCTCTCCAAAGTGCCAGATGCCATCGAATGTGAGAGTTTTCCCACTCAATGATTAGAATTACAGTGTTATAAATAAATAGCTTTACTATCTGAGTTACTTATTTCAGTAACGATTAATCAAACAAATTCTGTTTTCCCCATTAAATTAATTACTAATATTTACACATGGCATTATTTAATTGATATATCTTTTGCTGTAATTGAGCTCAATGGAACACCTAATGCACAAAAGGTCAGGAGTCAGAGCGATGGCAAGATCAAATAAATGAAAACTTTTGCAAATTAAAATAAAATAATAAAAGAGTATATATATATATATATATATATATATATATATATATATATATATATATATATATATATATATATATATATATAATTTATTTTTATTTTTTTAATTTATAAAAATAATATTTTTTTGTTCAGTATTTTGGTAATAGCACTTGTTAAGCTTATATTGTGAGCACTAATGAACTTATTATATTGACAGCACTAAAATATACAGTGGGTACGGAAAGAGCCTTAGATTAAACCTTAGATTTTTCACTCTGTGTTAGGGCAGCCATTTGCTTTTGCACCCCATATACAGAAAAACACAGAATTGTTGACATTTATGCAGATTCATTAAAAAAGAAAAACTGAAATAACACACGTTTGCTCAATATGAAAAGAAGCACCTTTTAATCTAATACAGCCATGAAACTTTTTGGAAAGGATGCAGAAAGTTTTTTTGCACCTGGTTTTGGGGATCATCTGCCATTCCTTCTTGCAGATTATCTCCAGTTATGTTAGATTAGATGGTAAATATTGCATGACATTACATTTTTAGGTCTCTCTAGAGATGCTTAATTGTTTTTTTAATCCTGTCTCTGGCTAGGCCTTACAAGAACAGTCACAGAGTGGTTGTAAATTCACTTCATTCACTTGTTTTTTTAGCTGCGTGCATAGGGTCATTGTCTTGTTTGAAGGTAAACCTTCAGCCCAGTCTGAAGTCCTGAGCACTCTGGAGAAGCTTTTCGTCCAGGATATCCTTGTACTTGTCCATATTTATCTTT